TAAAACGTCACGGGCCCCTATTAGGAGAGCTCTTTATTGAAAACATTATTTTTCATCATTGTTACATTTCTAAAAAAATAATTAAACATATTATTAAAATTAAATTTTTTAATTGTAAATGATTAAATAAAAATATAAATTATTAAATAATAATTATAAAATGAATAATAATTATAATTCTTTGAATCAATATTATAAAATAGTATATAAAAATTATAATTCTATTAACTTAATTAAAATATATACATATTAAAAACTATTTAATGCGGTACTTTATATTAAAAATGTAGGGGTACGTACTTTACTCAGAAGGGCAACGGATATAAAAAAAATAGAGGGACTAATAGTTACTACAAAAATGTAGTGTTTTGGGGCATTGAATATCAATATTTTAAATAAACTTTGGATGTCCCCACTCTTATTATGTAATTACCAAAAATGTAAATACAGTTTCTACAAAATATTTACCATTATATAAATGAATAAGTTTATCTATGTACGAAAAGAATTCCTAGTCTTCTCAGGAGATTTTCAAAGTACGTAATCATGCAAATAATCATGGTTGTAGCATTAGTAATATTAGAATTATCACATTACCTTTAATCTCGTCAGAGATAACATTATTTAAAGTCAATGACAAGTTTTCTTATGGTTACTTGCTTCTGAGTTCCTGTACAGAAAACGCAAACAGCCAATCTTCCTCTCATGCTTACCACGTGAAGTCCCTGATTCATATATCCAGTTTAAAGCAATAAAGATTTCTGAGAATGTAAAAAGCGCTGACCGGCATCTGATACATCCACATGCCGACCTTATCAACGCAGAATTTTCATTTGACCTCGAAATTGTTCATTATCTGAACACGGGTGTAAACGCACAGGCAGATATTAGCACAGATATGTTTAAACTGATATCGATTTTTTTCTCTTCAGATGATCCGTACTAGACATTACGCCAGAAATGTTCTTCCCCTTGTAAACAAGAAATTCTTTAACGTGTCAAAGTTAACACAATAGCAGTCATTTTTAATTCAACTATAATTCCATTATTTTAATTCAATTATTATATCCAGCGTGTCAAATGGATGCAATTTTATCCAAAAACTAATCTATTACATTGCATATATTACACTACATTTATTTTATGAGTATGTTGAAGGTATTTAAGAAAGTACGAATTTTACTCAATTACTATGCTATGAGGGTTTTTTCATTACATCAAGACCGCGGAAGTGGGAAGGAAACTCCAAAAGTAAAAAACCTTCCGTCAAGGTACGGAAACATTCCAAACTATTTTTGAAATAATTATTTAAAAAAGGCTCGTGAATGTCGAGCGTTGCTTCTGCACTTTCCATAACACTCACTTTTCATTCACATACTCGCTGTTGAGAATGGGAAACACAGCTTCCCTTAGCCATTTTTACATTCACTAGTTACTCGTCTCTATACTCGTCAAAGAAAGGTTCTTCACAATCTTTCTTATTCTTGCGTGAAGAAAGACGTAACACATCTTACATAACCTCTCAATTCTATGTCGACACTTAAGCTGTTAATCCCCTTCAATTTTCCTGTCCATCTTTCGATGGCATAATAATTTAAGAGAATGCGAACACACTTTTTTCATCGCTTCAATGCTTACAGACTTCGTTGTCGTATGAATCTTTCAAACTACTTACATCCATCTCCCAAGCATGAGCCACGCAAAATACTGACTTGAGTCCCTTCCAAGGGTGAGGACGCATCGTTTACATCCACAAATTAGACTAGTGTTAATTTGTACCACAAGTCGTTTTTTGGACGCTGCTGATAGATTATTTCGCTATGTTATTTATGGCAATCTACCAAGAATTAACCGCAAGCAACATTAATAGACTACGTATATCTAACAGATTATTTCTCCGATTAAAAGGCGAAATAAAGTAATTTTCAATTCAATATTATGTACCGCAAATACTTACTGAAAACGTAGAGCCTACACCTTTCTAAGTGTCGCTTCCTCAGTATCCATCATGTAGCAGCGTACAATGTCATACTCCAACCTGAGTTTCCTCCAGGTCTTTTTACTTTCTCGCATAATACTTACATAGTATAGAGAAAGTATTGTAAAGTTAAGACAAACAAATGCAATTTTATATTCGACAGATAAACTTACATTGAAAGGCTATGATAACCAAAAATGGATAATTCTTGTTACTATATGTAGTAAATTACTTCCTCTAAAATGTTGTGTAATCAGAATTCGTTTTTTCTGGGCCCTTGAAACCGAAAAATTGACTGACGAGAAAACACGTTTGTTTGCTTGCCAGTCTGCGTGCCTGCCTGTCTCTCCGTCCGTCCCTTCGACCGTCGGACCGTTGGCCAGTTGGTCGGACGGACCGTCGGACCACCTGACCAACGCTAACATCTACTCCATTCAAGTCTGACAAGGCTCAAGACCCAGCGAATTTGAAATGCATATTTTGATTTTTCGGGGTAATTTATTTAAGGCCTCAACATTTTAAAATTTTTCTCAAAGATGACTCCAAATTTTTAAATTATTTTTTTTCCTCTCGTAAAGCAAAAGTATGTTTGTTTAACTCTCTAAATTTTACAATATTGCCAAAGTTCCAAATTTTTTCGCGGTCTTCCTACAATTACAATACGGAAGAAGATTTTTTTTATTATTGCATTTACGAGTACATGTGCTTTAAGTTGTCATGAAAAGTTTCTCGAAAATTCAAACGTTTTATGTGAAAATTAGCTCAAAATTCAGCATTTTCAAAAACCCTCAAACGCCATTTTCTTAAAAATGGCTCCAAATATTTTCTTCGAACTTTTCGTACGGAAAGAGCTAATTGCACTCTTTAAGATAATAAAATTAATTTTGCTGTATTCTTTTGTTGTTGTTTTTTCAAAAAATAAACAAATGTAATTTGTTTAAAATATTTCTTAAGCCGTTAACATGCACATTTCCAGCAGTTTGTATACATTATTGCACTTGTGAGTAGAAGTGCTTCAAAACACATCAAATGATGTTTATCGAAAACTCAAATAATTTCTTGAAAAATTTCTTCGAATTTCTCATTTACAGTAACATTTTAATAGATAATTTCTCATTTTCATAGAAACGACTCGAAATGTTTCAATGAAGTTTGCAATTTAGGATAGGGTTTTACTCTTTTTTAATATTCTTAAAGTAATATTTCAGTTCTTCTATTCGGAAACCGACAAATTGAGAACATTTCAACAAAAACAACAAAAATAATAATAGCGCGGCGATAGATGGCAGCCGGCAAGAGTATGTTGAAAGGCAGAACAGCTAGCCCAGACCAAAAAAAATAGAAAACTAATACGAGAAAGTCTATACCATTCTGTAGTACCACTAGTTGCTGGATGGAACGCAGGTTTGGATTGTCGAATTTGGGTTGATGAATTTTTAAAAAAAAGTATAGTTTTGCACTTACAGAACGCACGTACAGAACGCTCTTAATCAGGACGGATAAAACTGGGTGTATGTGTGGGATCCTAAACTGGAGAAGGTTAAGGGTCGTTCACCAACGTATACCTGGAGAACATAAATGAAAGTGGAGATTAACGATAGACCCCAGAAAAATTAAAAAGATAATTAAAGGAATTGATTAATATTTACGAATTCTACAGGTATTTTGCAATATATTGCAATCATTTTCTATAAGACGTTACAGATGGTCGGTTTTCTAAAACGGTTCAACATTTACTCCGAATTCACAGCTGATTTCTTCAACGGAAAATATTATTTCAATGTGTTAATAGGCAGAACTGACTGTAGAGAACACCGGTTTCCATTAAGCGATTACGTACGGCTATGGGTTCTGTATTTTTTTCTGAACATCCGAGAACGCGTTGATCGACTCATTATTTAGGTCATTAGTCTCGTAAGTATAATGAATGTTTTAACTACATGAGGTGACGGTGTTCTTCTCCGTCTAGATGGTGAGGTACGGCGCAGGCCTACACTTCGGCTTGCAGGGTTTTCCCCATCCAAGATTTCCCACCAGCGGGTTACCGCCCCAGCCGGGAAAGCTCTTGCTCCCGACATGCACTTGTCAGTAAGGGGAGAGGATAGGACAAGGAAGAGAATGGAAAGATCGCGCGCGGTTTGAGGCCCGTTTGTTAGGGTTCTACTGGAACATTCGCCTGGTGATGATCGGAGAAACAATGGAAAACCGTCGATTAGAGCAGCTGGTCGCTAGAACTCTCCAGTCAGTTGCTGAATTTGATCTAGGTCTTTGGCTAGAGTGGAAATATTAACTCGAACTCTAAAATCTCCCCAAGCAGAGCGCTGCGAAGATATCAGTTATTGTCCTGAGCCACTTCAACAGATTTAACGCGCTGAAAGACGAAACTCGCACTTCAAGTTAAGAGATTTTAATAATAAAAGTCCTCAATGATGCAACGCCGGTCGGGATGGCCGAGATCGCTAAGGCCGTAGCGATCTCGGACCGAAGGATCGCGTGTTCGAGTCCCGCCTCGGGCATGGTTGTGTTGTATTCGTCCTTTCATCCCCTATTATCATCATCATTTCGGGGAAGGCAACGGGAAACCACCCTGGATAATTCATCATCCCAAGAAAACCAACTATGGGTCACCTAACTGCCGTATATGGTAGATAGGACCAAAAAAATGATGCAACAGAAACTCCTTACCGAACAGAGATAAAGGGGAAAAAAGCATCGTTGACCCCCTCCTGGACTGCTAACACGAATCGCGCAAATCCGGACGGACGCCAGAGGCGCGTAGCTGAAAGACGCGAAGGCCCGTTGGGAAGGCAGGTCAGCCCGGGGCGGCCCCAACTCAACGGCACTCGAGGGCGCGTCTTTCTGCCCCTCCCACCGCCCCAAGCGGCCACGCCCCGCACGCGCCTCATCAGCGCCTTTGCGCCGCCCGCTTCGACGGCCCGCACTCGAGGCGCTGCGGGCACACCCTGTTGTGCAAGGGGCCCCGCGCGCGCACCGCGTGATGTCCAAGAGTGCTCTCCACGCGATGCGATGGCGACATGTTGCGACCAAGACTCGAAATCAGACAGGTCCAGCGACTCGCACTTGACTGGCCTTGAGAGACTACCGCGATGGGTAACACCCACTGGGAAACCCGAAGTGCAGGGGGCTGGGAAAGCGAGCTACGATTCTTCGAGATCCTTCGGATCATTATCTTTTCTGTGGTTCGTGGTGTAGCGTCACAAAAGCAATGGGTAGAAACTATCACAAAAGCAGGAATTTGTCATGCTGATTATCGTCAAATGCAGTTTTTCTGAAGTTAAGACCCCCAAATCCTAAAAGTGCATCGGTTTATCCAAAACATTCAGCATTGAAAGATTGTGGTATAAGTAAACTACATTAACACCAATCATCGTAATGACGAATCAATTGCTTACTACGTACACGTGGGACAAATTTGTCTACCAGCTGTTGAAGTGCCTTTAGAAGACTCCATGTCACTGTTGGTCGGCGTGGAATTCGGTTTTTGACATTTAAACTTGCAAGGGAAAACGGGAACTTTCGCCTCCGGATCTACCAACTTGTTTTTCCTTTCCTATCTGGCACGGCGCTAATTAAGTTCAACAACATCTGGCACCCACTTCGAAGTCACACTAAAAATTGAAAAAAAGAATATATACTTGTTCATATTATATTTATCCTTCTTAACAAGCAGACCCCTGTGTTCTCTCGGGTTATCCGAAAGATTATGATTCCAGTAACAGCCTGTGAGCATTCTTAATACGAGTGATACGATGGAATAAGGTAATGATGTTGCTCTATGAAATATTATGAAGAAATAATGAAATAAGGCGACGGGGGAACGAGAGTAACCCGAGAAAACCTGCTGTGAATCTACTGCGTCCACCACAAATTCTACGAGGAGCAGGAGTGCACAGGACCCAGTGGTAGAACGCAATTACTCTAGCTTCTACTACTCCGTTCAAACACACAGGTTAACAGTGCTTTCACCACCTTATGAACACGCTGACAATATGATGGCCATTGCACGCTGTGGGTACTTTGCATGGTCCAGTCTTCTATCCACTCGTTCTACACACACATCTCGTAGCAGTTTAGCAGCACTTCTTGAATAAGCAAATGTGCGTTATAACAAATACGTTTCACATAGACAAACAATTTTGTCCCGATCAAACTCATTCACGTCCTGTTAATGAACTCATTTGCTGATATTCGTCTTCGATGAGGCGCAATGCTGCTTGCTTTCACCTCCACATAAATCTATTTCATTCAACCGTGTCCTTTACTTACAAAAAGTAGCGTTATGCCTACTTTTGCGGTCACAAGAGATAGCGCTGCGGTGCTGTCTCTCGTGCATTATAAACAAAACGCTGCTACATGCTTTAAAAACAAAACGTAGACCATTTCAAACATTGGCGTTTTGAATATTCGATGCCCTAATAAAGCGATAAAGTAAAATACAGATCTGTACTATTGCATATACGTGTGTGTCTACTTATCTTTCTTTTCATCATCTTTAATTTATATGTGCCGTCAGATATTCACTAGATGTTCACGAGCACTTGTTATGAGATGAAACAAGGAATGCTAGTTAACAGGATTCAACCTTCAATTTTACGCGCATCCCAACCAGACCTCGTTCAGCAGTTTCTTTCTTTCTTCCGCAGGCGGCGCGCGGGCGGTGCAGTTGACGCCGTTGGCGTCGTTGGTGCTGCTGGCGCTGTTGGTGCCAGAGGCGCGCGCGGACGAGCAGTCCACCTTCTCGCCGTCCCCTGAGGACCCTCTGCACCAAGCAGGTGTGTCTGGTGACGGTAAATTTTAGCTAAACATCGATGCATCGATACTTCGATTCATCGATACATCTACAAAAAGTTTTCAATTGCGGTGAAAACATCGAGGTTTTAAATATGATGAAAAATTTCGAAGTAAAATGTCTTAATTCTAATATGATGCATGACAAGTCGTTAGTTTACAGTATATTCTGCCTAAATTTGGTGTCATCTTAATTTTCTAATTAATGTTCTATGTAGGTAAAGTTAAAAATGCAGATGAACGATATTACTACGTAAAATAAAATCAAAACGGTAATAACACTAGAGAGAAGTTGCGGATATCAAACTGTTTCGCGCCGTCTGAGGATCGACAACAGGAACAGGTGTGAATGACTGTTGATTGCATGAAAATCCACAAAAAAAATTAGATACTAGAAATTTGAATTGTATCATGAACATTTTTTTTTTGAAAACATCGATGTTTCTGAACAAATATATCAATCTGAAGATTTCTAAAGCAAAACATCGATGTTATTATATCGATGTTTCTGCTCGAAAACATCGATGTTTAAATAACTTTGATGTTTTTTGTCATCCTTAGGTTTGTCTCAGGGTCTGTGCGCACTCACGTGTGTGTAAGGAGGGGGGAGAACTCAGGCTGAAAAGTGAAGGAGCTGGAGTAACATAGTGTTAAACCTTCTATAAGCCACCGAGAAAACAGACACATTCCCTTTCTGCTTTCTGTAAAGAAATTGTAGATCTGAGGACGCGTTTTCACCGCGTTTAGGTAATAACGTTTGTCTTTAAGGGAAAGTATAAGACCTATGAATGTGTGAAGCGTGGTTTATCGTTATTTTCCTTCATTTCACCAGATACAAGAAAAAATCCTAATGCACTGCCCGTCCCGCCAGCGCCGCCTAACCCACCCCGATCATCGTGCGTGTCCGACCCCTAACAGGTACATTACGGGACCCACGTTAGTTTTGTTTTTCAAAGTTATCCATTGACTGTTCACCTGCAAGCAAGTAAAAATGTCATATTTCTTCGGTACTATTTTCCCCATTACAAGAAATACGCGTACCAAGTTTGGTTCAAATTTCCTCATGCATCACAATATTATACTTGAATGCCTGTTCGATTATCATGTAACGGATGGATGTGGTGTTTTGTAGCGTGTCGGAAAAGACCCAGCCACTATTCATAACTATTAAAAAACACTTTCTTTCAATTTCAGACAGAAATACTCTCTTACAGACCAGTTATCCTTCGCTGATACGGGCCTACGGGTGCCTTGAAAAATGTCTACTTTCCTAGAGAATGACGGAAACGAACTTTAGGGCCACGTCGAAAAGTTGAGGAAGAAGAGTGTCTCATCGCGAAAATAGCACCGGGAGAGGTGGCTGTTGTCATTGCAGTGCCTCTGATCGGGAGGGCCTGAGGCTAGTCAGAGAGCTAAGACGAGCTCTGTCGCTGTCTGTGGGAGGGGTCTAGCGGCTGCTTTGATCGGTAGCTTTCCGTGGTTTCTCCGATCAACACCTGGCGAATGTCAGAGCAGTACCCCAACAAACGGGCTACGGACTGCGCGGATTTGCCCTTGCCTTCCTTGTTATACCCTCTCCCTCTGCTCCCGTTTACACTCGCATGCACTACACTATCACGCATCGGGAGACCAGTCTGGCGGTTAGAGCTTGTCCCGGACCGGGCGATGTCCTACTGGTGGGATGTATCTGGTTGGGGAATGCTCCTCTAATCGACGGACGTCGGCGCTGGATCTCACAATGCTGCGGGGCAAGATAACCGCCGCCTGTAGAGGAAAAATCATGCACTTCATTTACGAGACTAATGACCTTAGCAGTTGACGCGCTCCTAATTACTAGTAATAAATCAATCAGCGACAATAACTGAATGAAAAGGGGTTAGGAACACGTGGCGCGGAAGGTTTGAAATAACGGGGTCCCTGAGAAGGTCCAAAAGACATCACCCATTCCAAAGTAAATACATCAACAACACATACATCGGTTTTATGTGTTAAGATTCTTGATGGTCACTAAGAAAGTAGACTGAAAAAACGCTTTTTGTAATTAGATAGTAACTTGTGAATAGATATTGGATGTGACGTAGGTTTTTCAGCCACAATTTTAAATATCACTGCAAATATTAATTATAATTATTAACCTTAAACTATTCTATACCGGTTGCTATGTTCATTTAAATACAACCTGCGGACATTCATTAAAAACTTTAAACTAATATAATTATTTGCATTGCTTAATCCTAACGGCAAATCAATAAAACAAACGAAAGTTGTTACTGTCGAAACAAACACATTCTGTATCTAGCTGTTGATTAATATATTATAAAATGAAATACAAAAATTACTAGATATTTGTAAATAAAACATTGAAAGATATACGTTTGATATAACATTAGAAAGAAAATTATTTCTTTAATAACTATTGTTCAGACATTAGATGGGTCATAGACACTGTAACCTCTATTCTGGGATAAACGAGTAGAGGCACGTTTGGGTTGATTGGCATCCGTGGACGAAACGGGGGAGTGACGGGGCGGTCTGACAGCATAAGGGTCCGCGGTCGGAGCCAGTAATTACTTGGCTAACCGGAAGATCCGGCGTCTCTCAGACAGCCAAGTATGCTTCAGTTTTTTTAAGGGGTCCGATGACATTAAGTCATTGATACACCTCCTGCCTTGTAAAATTATTTTTTAACAGTGGTAAGCACATTTCTAAAGACATGAAGGACGTTTGCGTATGAATTAAAAAGATTCGTTTTATAAGGTAGGAGGCGTAACAATGACCTAACGTCATCGGCCACTTTAAAAAAAATCGACGATTTTGTATCTATTACGTACGTACGTATTATGCGAGAAAATAAAAATACCTGGAGGATACCTAGGTTGGAGTATGATAGTCTACGCTGCTACACAATGGACGTTGAGGAAGGGACGCTTAGAAAGGTGTAGGCTCTACGTTTTCAGTAAATATTTCCTGTATAAAATCTTGAATTGTATATTACTTTATTTCGCTCTTTAATCGGAGAAAGGATGTTTTTGATACATGTAGTCTAAGTGAATGTTGCTAACGGTTAATTCTTGCTACAATGCCATAAATCCATTGCCATGTACCTGTTCCAGCGGAGGAATCTGCAGCGTCGCCGGCGCCGCAGGGGGCGGCCCGTCGCGACGGCCGCGACTCCTACCTGGCGGCGTACGCGGCGTCCCACGGCGCGCACCTCGGCGGCGACGAGAGCGCGGGCGCGGGCGACGGCGGTGGGCGCGGAGACGCCTTCCTCGGCGGCGACGCCCACTACCCCGACGCGCTGTACGGCGGACCGCCGTCCTCCTACGGCGCCCCCGGCCCGGCGTACGGGGCCCCTAGCCACGCCTACGGCGCGCCGGGCCCATACCCCGAGGGGCCCCTAAACCCCGCTTCCTGGCTACGGCGCGCCCCGGCCCCCGCGCCCGGCCCCCGCCCCCGGCTACGGACCGCCCTACGGCCACCACCGCGACCACGGGCCGCTGCCCGTGCTCGAGATCGCCACCGTGCTCAAGATCATCCTCAAGGTGAACTGCTCCCTCTAGATCAAATGAATAATGTCTTTGTCTTTATTTTTTGATGGCGATGTTTTATTGATAGATAATTTTACCGTGGTTAATGTACATGTTCCGTAATATTCCGTACTTCGTAAATGTATGGGCAATTGTGTAATGTGAGATCTGTATCTCACGATAACATATTTCATTTAATTTACCCATTCTGTCACAGTCACAAAGCCTCATCAATATTTCCACAATGCAGCTTTTCAGCTGTTACTAGCTCTAACGCATGTCTCTCTTCTGAACGTATAATTCAAAATAAGGTTCATTAGATCGCTGGTGAGCTAGATACTTTTTTATTATGATAAATAAATAAAGATGTTGTCTGGTACCAATATAATCGAAATAAGGTGTTTACATAGGAATCAAAGGGTATAAATGAAACCATTACCTTATAAATCAACGCGGAAAAAATAGCTGTTTTGAGGGGAACTCTAGATAAGATGTTGAAACGTGAATTTATTAAATTTCAATGTAGAATTAAAATAAAGGAGTGCCTTCAAAGAAACAAAATATTTTCTGCGAGAAATGCTATTCACACTGCGTGAAATAAAGTCTTATTGAAACTAATGAAAATGGTACTGGCTAATTCAGTTGTTGGTGACTCGCGCTACTGCGTTGTAACCGCACGCTATCAGGTCTATCTATTCTGTGATCTTGTAGCATTGTACGACGTGCCTGAACCCAGGAAAAAATCGATAAAGCAAACGAAACTCTTCATATTGGCGTAGTCAAGCACTCCACGTTACCCTTAATTGAAACCGTCGGTTTCTATAATATTCAAAATGGGTTGCTTGACACACAGAAACGTTTCACCAACGTCTTCTTTAAATATTGCATTAACAGAAAAATATCTAAAAAAGTTTGCCAACATCTCCTCCAGTAATGAGGTACAGTTTTTTCACAGACATCTTAGAATTTAGAAAAGCTAACGAAGTCACCATGCATCATAGCCTATGGCACTGCAATTCATACTGCACTGTGCTTTATGAAAACATTTTTTTTAACTGGGTCGACAGAAAAACAAATACATGATTTCACATTCTATTAAAAGGACGGTGTGTACATGCATTTCCCGAGACCTGTCTGCACCGTGTGTGGAGTAGGAATGCACAGCATACTGAAACTTGTTATTCTCTTAAATTTATTATTCAGCAACTACTTGCCAATTTTTTTTAAAAAGTGCATAACATCATTGAATACTTTAAAATTTATAGATATATTGCATTGAAAAATACTTTTTTTAGCTGTAATATTGAAAGTGTGAGACAGGTCCGTATATTCCCGATATATATCCGACATGTATTTATAAAATAAATTTGACCTATTGCAATTTTCAACATTTCCGAATCAAAAATGAGATTTTAAAGGAAAATGCAACTATATTGTATTTATAAATATATGAAAGAAGATGTATAGTGCAGGGAGAAAAGTAATAATTTATTTTCCTTATTCTGCAAAATTCTGATACTAATCGCATCTGAAAAATATTGTACTAGAAATTAATGCTTTAAACTAGCGTAAAGTTAAAAATGTTCAATGATATGTCCGTTAGGGAAATATCAAGAAGTTGTTGTGAAACAGAACTTTTATCAGCGTTTCTTGTCTAGTTCATAGTGGGAAAATAGATAGGTGAAAATTAAAGAATATTATTCATCATGGTAAAGAAAGCAAACTGATCTAATGTTTTTGGTTCAATATTGGCGACCGTAGTATTTTAGCAACAATTTCTTGTTAGGTTTCTGGTAGCACTCAATAGTCTTCCAAATACTTTCTCTTCCAAATGACTAAAGGAGAAGTGGCATTCATGAGTGCGGCGGGATGTCTAGCTTAGTGCTACAATTTTAAGTATAGCGCAATTCACAATAGAAAAGTTTATTTCCTAAATGACTTTATTTCCATGAAACAGTTTTTTCTATGAGTGTATTCACATTTACATGGGACTCAACGGTTTTAGGGTATCGTTTAACATAGGAAAATCGCTCGTTTTGAACTCTAATATGACAGTTTCACGGAGAAAAATTAAGCATCACTAAAACAAACGGAAGTGGAGACCCATCACTTATAAAATAAGCTCTTCAATTACAAAAATATTCAAAATTGATATAACAGTGCATTTGCAAGAAACAAATATGTTAAGGGATACTTGTTTTGGTATCTAACACGTTCATGAAGAGTTTCTGTGACTGAAACATCTCACCCGGTGCCACTGAAAATCATTTTTTCAATTCAATTTTTGCGAACTGTTTTCATTTTCTTTAGAAACGATGTGAACATAAACTTTCTTAATATTTTGCTTTTGATTTGTACAATGATGTGTATGCATATACGATATGCATTGCAATATGAAAATAAAAATTCTAAGTAATATTTTAAGTATTTCCACTGCTTTCCCTTTTTGTATTTGAAATAGTAGTTTCTATTTAAACGTACGATTTTATTGAGACGTTCAAAATACATGTTTTTTAAAGAATTTAATTAGTGATGGTATTAAAATAAAATCACAATTGTAACACAATTTTGAAACATATTTATAATATTGTTGTTAGGTGTAATTCTCAATACCTGAATTCAGATGTGGAACGTTCAAGAATATTTCATATATATATATATATATATATAGATCGTTCAAGTTCATCGCGGTGATCTGCCTTCTTCTGTTCCTGCGAAGTTCAAGGCAGCCCAAGGCGTCGGCGGCGGACAGGCGGACGACAAGAACACGGAGGCGGCCATGCGCAGCCTCCACGGACCGCAGGTGCTCACCCAGCTCACGTCACTCACTCTTTCCTCGATCCCCCGTTTACTGCTCCACCGCCCCATTCGCCCCTCACATTCGGATTACCGCTCTCTGTCATCGCGTCTTACTCCGCCCTCTCGTTCTCTCTCGTCTCTCTCCTCGTTCTCTCTCCCTCTCCTCTCTCTCTCTCTCTCTCTGTCTCTCTCGCTTCTTCTCTCTCTCTCCCTCTCTCTCTCTCTCTCTCGTCTCTCTCTCTCTCTCTCTCTCTCTTCCTCTCTCTCTCTCTCTCTCTCTCTCCCGTCTCCCTCATTCTCATTGCTCACTCATCTACCCTTTGTTCACCCCTTTTCTTAATATCTGGAGAAAAGTACATTTTATTGTTAGCAGATGAGAGTAAGTGAAGCACTCACTCCATCGGAGATAATATTTCTCCCTGGGATTAAATATTGTCTCCCTTGATTTCATTACACAATGACAACAAACAACTTACATGAGTAAAAAATTATGTATTGAAAAAAAACCTAGTGATTTTCACTTCATGGCTTCCTTAACGGAATACGAAAACAAGACATTCTCACTCAACATTTACTATTTCTTTATTTCTATTCTTTACTCCACTTAAATTTGCTGCATCATAGATTTTCTAAATATTTTGCATTTGAATAGCTTCATTGCAGAATTCAGATAGAATTTTAGGTTAGCGTGGCCTCCACTTGAACACGTGTAGTTGTTTATAGACAGTTTCCCTGATAATGAACTATTCACGTATCACAAAAAAATAAATTTCTCAACTTAATATTTTAAATAAATTTCTGAAAACTATTATGGTCGTTTTCCCTCGGTATTAATTTAGCCCACGGCGGTAATTACACCTCTGGGAAAATAATCTCTTTTGATGTATAAATCTATTTCTGGCACACAAAATACAAAAAAGTTTGTCGAGGCCCAAAGACTTTTAACGTGTTTCCTCACGTATCGTCGACCACTGAAATTCGAATCTGAAGCCAGAAGTGCGCCACCGCTCTCCACATTTTTTTGATCGCGAAAACCGTAAATACTGTATTTTTTTGTTTTCAGCGTTGTTGTGTCTGCTAAGAAGTTCTTGGTGAAATTTTAACAATTTCAACGTAACGTTTTTTCCCCCGCGGATTAAGCAAAACTGAATGTGGTGGTGGCCGCAATCTAAGGCTCGATTCGGTTTCAGAGCGTTAGACAACATAGAAGAAAACATATGTCAAGTCTTTAGATCTGACAATAAACGCCCGAATATAATAAAATACAATGTCACAGCTGGTTTTATCGCCACAAGGTACCACCTCTTGATACATTTGCAACATAAGACGTACGAGTGCATCCTAACTTTTATACTTCCGGGGGAGCAGGTGATGGGCTTAATTCTGGCTTTATATTCGGATTCAAGCGCGTCGAAATTCATAGAGAAAACGTGTGTCGAGAGTTTGGGGTCTGACAAACGTTTTATTTTGATTTTGTGTGCCTGTTTATTATCAACTTCGATGTTTTAATTTGAACATCGATATTTCGAAAATCCCGATGTTTTGTTTGGTCGCGTCCGTAGTGTGACCAAGGTGACGGGACGTTGCAGGGGCGGCGGCGGCCTGGACGCGGCGGCGGCGACACTTTGTTGGCGCCCGACCTGACGCAGCGGCGCGGCGCTACGAGGAGGGCGGCGCGGCGCCGCCGTAGCCAGCGGACCCCTCGCAGCCCTCCCCCCACCTCAGCCACCCCCGCCCCACCACCTTGCGCTGCTGCCATTCTCAGCAGCTCACTTGTTCTTCCAGTGCCCCTGGAATATCCAGCTTGACACAGTACCCATCTCTTGAGACATTCACATCCTAA